TCTTCCGATATTAGTTTGGACATTATGGTTAAAAGGTGGAGTAGACCATATAATGTGTTTACAGTGTTTCTGCTTATTTTTATGTGTTTTTATTTCTAAATACTCTAAATTTACATTATGATTGCTTATTTCTAAAAACTTTTTATATTTAATCTTAGACATATCAAATATTTCCTTATTGCTGGAGTTGGTGGATAATCTAACTTGAATTGATTTATGTAACTTATGCATAATTTTGTGGTGGCAGTTTTATTCTTTCCTAATGTATCTATGGTTATATAGATCTTTAGTATGGTTTATAATAACCATTATTCAGGTCTAAAGTTACATCGAGAAAGTTGATCATTTTAGCATTGGTGGTGGTGATAATATTTAGTTTGTGATCTTTAAAAAATTTTGTCATGTTCCTTTCTCAATCAGTCTATATTTTGTGGGTTAGTTTTAAGGAGGAGAATGACACCGTCATCTCTATAGAGTCTGGTGTCCTTGAAGTTGAAAATAAATTTAAGTCTCCTCAATAATAGATTCCAACTAGTTCATATGCCTCCCCTGAATCAATACTAAATTCTGAGTTACTTCTTTTGGTCCACATATTACCATTATGGAATATTGTAGGTTTTTGTGCTTGCTTTATGATATTTATTTTTTATGATTGCTAATAGGACAGTAATTTATTGCTAGATTTATAGCTGACATTAGCACATTCTCAGTGATGGACAGGTAAAAATCACAAATATCGAATTGGATGAATGTACATTCATTCTTCCTTTTTATATGAGTAACCCATTCTATGGCTTCAGCTGTTTTGTGCCACTGGTTAAATCCTAGAGACATTTTTCATGTATTTTCATTCTCTTTCAAGGATGTTTTTGCTGATTTTGTCAATATTATTTTTAGTTTGGTTGAGTAATCGGTATTGAGGGTTGTTTAGAAAATTTGCCTTATGAACTTCAACATTTTGCTCCATTTAGTTAAAGATGTAATAAAGTATTTATACTTTGTATATAATTCACCACCAGAATATGGAACCAATTAACCTGGACTACATTTATATTGGATTTATATATATATATATATATATATATATATATATATATATATATATATATATATATATATATAAGCTCTGTTTTGATCTGAATTTTAAATTTGTAACCATGTTATTGATATTTGATTGTGTTTTCAAGTTCCATAACACATTAGGGGTCATAGAGGTATCATATATAGCCACAGGAGTTGTTTTTAAAGCAAGATAGCCTCATAGAACCCATCCTTCTTCAGGCTGGTTTTCAATTCAGATTTTTTCTTCTGCTAGACTGGCTGTCATCCAAGACAAGTGAGTTCAGTCTACTCTGACAAAGGAAGATAGATTCATGCCTTTTTCCAAAGGCATTTATGCAAAGTAAACAAAACAGACTCTTTCTGAATTTGAACTCTGCATTTCAATTTCATTTTCTACATGAATAACCCTTATGCTACACACATTCACTGCTAAATGAAGTTCAAGGAAGGTAAGGAAGGAATAGCAAATGTCACTTGAAGAGAAAATAATGACATAATCAAGATGTTAACATTTCCACATTACTTCAAATAACCCTTATACTACACAAATCATTCACTGCTAAGTTCATTGGTAATTATATATATATATATATATATATATATATATATATATATATATATATATAAATTAATTGATTTAAAATATGTTTTTTTTTGGCTACACAGATCTAACCAATCAAAAATGGAAGCTGAAAGCTCCGAATTTAATTTTGTAATTAAATTAAAGACATTAGTTCCATTTCATCCTCAAGCGAATTTTGGAGTAACTTTTAAAATTACTGGGTTTTAAAGACACAGCAAAAATCATAATTCACGTTTCCAAGGATACAGAGAAATCCAATTCAACCAGACAAGGGGTGTTTGCATGTTCATTATCTCTGTATTTTGATGTATCAGTTATTAGTTACGTTTTAGTAGGGGTAGGGATGTATTTTTCAATGAAATCTGACACCCGTTAAATGCATGTCGTCTGGATTTTTTAAAAATTTTATTGTTAACGGCAAAAATTCTTACGGCATTTTTTCTATTTGTATATTTCTATTTGGGGGTTGTTTAGGTTAGAATAAGTTTTATTTAACTATGATTTGAAAAATATTTTCACTTTTAATTTTTAATATACTATATTTCTTTTAAGAACAAGTAAATGTATTAGAATCCCTTACAGTATGTAGAATTATTTTCACATCAAGTATAAGTATGTATATTATTAGGTAACAATTTTTTTTTTTAAAACTATTTTAAAATCTTATTTAAGTAAAATTTATGACAATGATGGCAAAAATAGCTAATTAATTTCACTGATTTAGTAAACTTTTATTTTTTATATAATGCTCTGTAAATTTACATTGAGCACTATTTTGTAAAAATAAAAATATCTATAAGAACACCAGATTATATATCTTAATGTTCTTTCTTTCTTTATATATATATATATATATATATATATATATATATATATATAGTGTCAAATATATAAAAAGTTTATTTCATTTTTTCCTAATCATTTCACTCCAAGCAAGGTGATACAACTACTAAGACACACAAGGTTACTGAAAGAATCAGAGAAAAACAAGGTTACTGAAAGAATCAGAGAAAAACATTATTATGGAGAGAGAACAATAAAAGAAAAAGATTCAAAGAGACAGAAGATAACGGTTGACATTGCATTTAAATGTTTGACAATCAAAGTTGGCTGAGAAGCGAGAAACCAGAGGAGAGTTCCTCAAGCAAGAAGTACAAGAGAAGAAAATGTTAGTGTGCAACTTCTGGTTACATTAGCAATTTCAACTGTAAAAAGATGAGACCTAGCTGCCAATCTAGTACTGTACTTTGTAAGGTGAAGGTACCAAATAGGAAAGCTTATCAGAACAATTATGAAAATATTTATAGAATAGGCACAAAGAAGCTATGTTATGATGGTGGGGAGGTGACTGAAGCTGAGCTGCCAAGTCATGACCAATAACATTGCAGGTTCTTTTTGGATTTTGTCAAGAATCTCTAGATATATATAGATCTGTTTGAATATATATATAGCAGAAGCATCAGGCCAGATGTGGCAGCAATATTCAATGAATGGTTGACTTATAAATGTGTAAGATAGTTTCTGTTAGGAAAAATTGCCTGGAATGACACTGAACCAACTTTCCTAGCAGCAGACAGTACAATGAGTCACTCTCCAGGTGGTTAGCATCAGCCATACTGATGCAAGACAAAAATGGATCTCTAAAAGGATCAAAAGAAAGCAGTTTCATTTTGGAGTCATTCAAATTAATAAGCCATTTCTTGCTCCAGTTAATAGATTGAAAGTCATTTTTGAGATCTAATGACATTGGGAAGCTTCAGTATTTGTCTGTATTTCTGAGATGAGGTATTATGTATACTATTTACATTGTTCGAACTATCATCCTCATCTTTTTTGCCATATTTATCACAATGTTTCAACTGTTGTACTCTCTGGCCTGCTTCAGGTGGTTGGAATGTCGAACTGAACCTTTTATTTTGCTCACTGGTGTAGATTGTTCTAGTTCCACATGCCATGTCTAATGGATGTCAGTTATCAGTTATCTCCTGTTAATTCCCCTCTCCAAATTCTCCACAGTCTTAACCAGGTATTGAACTCACATTCTTTGGGTCCTGTCACTGGATCTAACACCTTTATCCACTGTGCCATGTGTCCTCAAGGACACATGGCACAGTGAAGCTTGTTGATGAAAATTAGGTACCACATCACTCCAAGGATAGAGCTCTGACTGACACATGCATTAATGTAAAAAGATTAAGAAGTGTTCAAAACAACTTTCGTTTTGTGATTTGATAACAAAGATTGAATCAAATGAAACATTTGTACATATACATATTTCATTATATATTTTTGTGTATTTTACTGTATCTAAGCTGCATTGGTGTATAAAATGCATCCTTATTTTGAAGATTAAGTTTTGTGGGGAAAAAGCTATGGTTATAGTTGAAAGATTTTTACTGAAGATAATGCTGATACTTTCAAATAACATTAAAAATTAACATATATTGATCTAAACACGAAATAGCTCAACATGTCAAAATAAGAAAATACTGTAAATATTATTTATTGTTATTTAGTTTGGTTCAAAGCCTACAAAATCTTCTTGGCTTTCACTATCACTTGGAAAACAGACATTTCATCATTGGTTCCAATATTAGGATCAAAAAGAATGTCATTCTCATTGCTTTCACTAGGGCTTAGAAAAGGGTCAAATGTTCTCATACGATCACTGATGTTAAGCAACGTTGAGCCTGGTAATTACCTAGATGGGTGACCATCTAGGAATAACAGGGGCTGTAAGCTTGTATGTGCAGGTGGTATAACTGTTGGAAATTGATGAACTGAGTTCCAACTGCAGTCAGGTTTGTTATATTCAACTCTTTGCAAATACCCATGGGAAATGTATGAATTCATTTTTTCTCACCCCAGCTATGGGTTAATTAGTGAGAATTGTATCAGCAAATCATTATTATCTCAAAAAAAAAATTCTTACCATCCAAAAAATGTTTTCTGGCTTTAAATAACTTGCAAAAGGTTGATAAGCCATAAAAAAAAATCAAATCAATCAAATCTCTATTATCTGAAGCACCCTTTCAGCAATTGCATACATTAGGAAATTCTCACTTCTCTTTTGATGTATTTGGAAAGCTCAGGTTGGAAGACATTGCCCTTGTGCCACCTGAGAGGGTGTTAATGTCTCTGAGAAATTTATTATTTGACATGATGCACACGAACATATTGTTTAATCTCTTTTCTCTTGTCACTTATTTCTTTACAAATATTTATTTTCATTTTTTTTTTTTTTTTTTTCAATGTTTCAAATTTCCAATCCATTTTAAAATTTTTTTTTTTTTTTTTTTTTGTTACAGAAATGAAATCTTCTAAAACATTTTCTTTTTTTTCTTTCCGGAAACAGGGATATGATGTGTCAGCTGTACTTGGTCAGCAAGTTGGTCCTCTCACCTGTTTGCTAAAGAAACAAAGTACCTCCCAACAACACCCAGTGTTCTTCTTGGAAGAAATTCAACCTGTGTAGAAATTGTCCCTGGCCTTGATATAGCTTCTTACATAAATCGATAATCTACAATGAGTTAAATGTTTATAAGTTTCTGCTTTTATAAGTGACAGTGTGCGTCTGTGTGTGTGCATGATTATACATACATATACACGGTGTGTATATGTGCATGTATGTATATATATATATATATGTGTGTGTGTGTGTATTTGTATATGAATATGCATATATCTTTGTATATAATGTGCTATGTGTGTGTGTGTGTATATATATATATATGTGTGTGTGTGTGTGTGCATATATACATGTTTGTGTGTGTATATATATATATATATATATATATAGAGAGAGAGAGAGACAAAAGGATTGTCATTTCACAGATATACTCTATCTAAAACTTTCAAATATATATGTTTGCAAGGAAAGTTCTCATAGTTTGTAAATAACTTTAATGTTCTTCAAATGTTCTTCAACCATATATATATATATATATATTATATATATATATATATATATATATATATATATATATATATATATAAAAAGAATTTGACAACGAAAAAAACATTACTTACCATAATACATAGTTTCCGCTGTCTCCTTCAGAATATTTCTCTTGTCTGCTGTTTGCTTACTGACTCATAAATTCCAAAATTTGAAGGATTACGCTGATACTAATTTAAAAATTTTAAAAAGTAAACAAGAATATTGGCTAGACATAACTTGCTTATATTATTCAATCAAATACATTTGAAAATTAACAGAAAAATAGACCTTACATATATATATATATATATATATATATATATATATATATATATATATATTTTATATAGGTCATTTTTCAAAATTCTTTCAAATGTAATGAATAATATATATATATATATGTAAGGTCTATTTTTTGAGAATTCTTTTAAATGTATTTGGTTGAATAATATATATGTATATGTAAGGTCTATTTTTCGAGAATTCTTATTAGTTGTTTTATATAATCAGTAAATTTCCCAAAGTATTTATTTATATTTTATTCTATTCCCCCTCCAATTGTACTTTTGAATGTTGCTACATTCATTTTTAAGGATTGTATTTTATGTATATTTATGCAAATCCTTTTGGTTAATTCCTGCATTTTCCCATGTTTCCTGTAAACAATTTCAATTCACTCAAGGTGGTCATATAAAACAACTAATTCAGAAATTTTAAAAATTTAATAAAAATCAGATAGACAGAATCTGTCAATATTATTCAAACAAAAATGTTTAATATATATATATATATATATATATATATATATATATATATTTATATCTTATAAAATAGTCATTCAAAGAATAAATCAATAAAGTTAATGTAATTAATGGTGAATTCACGTCAGTAACAGATTAAGAAGGCATTTATTTACTGACCACTCGCCAAACGCCACAATCCTTGTTTTTATTAATTGTATTATGGATTAGATGTTCTTTCTGTATAGTTTGCAAGCACTTTCGATGCATACAAGCATCTTCTTTAGGAATAGATGCTATTTTTTTCCTCAATTTCAAGTAATTTGCGCTTGCAAAATATATGGAAAGAACATCTAATCCATAATACAAATAATAAAAACAAGGATTGTGTCGTTCTGAGAGTGGTCTGTAAGTTAATGCTTTCTTAATGTGTTAGCAAAGTGAATTTGGCATTAATTATATTAACTTTATTGATTTATTCTTTGAATGACTATTTTATAATATTAATTAAACCACATTATTTCTTATATATATATATATATATATATATATATATATATATATATATATATATATATATATATAGTGTGTGTACATTTCTTTTTATGTACTTAAACAAGGATATTTTATTATATAAAAGATATTGTGGCATCATATATTCATTGGTCATGTGACCTGATTACTGTGATATTATAGTAAATGAATGCACATTGTTTTACCATAATGGGTTTACTAAAACATTGCTTTTTATTTCCCTTCATTTGTGATATCTTTCTTTGGATATTTTAATTGTTAATGATTTTGAAATCAAATTTCTTTCTTACATATGACTATAGAGTTAATTACATCGATAAAAGTTTCAGATTACACTTACAGAAAATATAGCCAATGCAATTTCAACAATACTTAAATATTTACACCGTTTTTTGACAGTGTGGGTTTTGTTAGCTTTATTTGGACATTTATTTTTTTATTTTTGATGATTAAAGAACCCAATTCTTTCTTATGCTCAACAATAGAGTTAATTGTTTAGATAAAAATTCTATGTTTGACTACTGTTTATGAGACACATGGCCCTGGAAGAAGACAACAACTTGAAAGTTGACTAAATGGAATGGATAAACATTAAACACATGTACAGTGCTGATAATTACAGTGGCAAAGAATGAATTCAAAGAAAACTTATGAATAGCAATAATTTAAATAAGATAATCTAGCACTATTATAGTTCTAGATTCGCTTTTAATAAGCAATTATATTCATCCTAATTACAATTAATGGTAGATAAAGTAGTAATTATAGTTCAGTTATGTTGATCCAATTGTTCAATGATGCTTGAGGTGGATTTACCAAATTATTGCAATGAGATTACATCATTATTTTAGTCAGGCTTATTTCATTTAGTCAACTTTTTTAGTCAAGTTGTCTACCTCTGGGACTGTGTACCTGGTAAATAGTAGTTAAAACAGATCCTAGATTATTCACATAGAAAAATATATTCAATGCAATTACAAAATTAAATATTGCCATCATTATTTTTTTTATAGTAAACTAGTATATGTATTTCAATTTACCACTATTGATATTTTTAGCAAGATAAAGATGTAAATTTTGAATTTAAATATATTTCAATTACAGGTAAACTTTCCAGGTGTTATTATTAATGTTGAATAGTGTTTCTTTTCTTTTATTTCTGTTGCTTTTTATTGCAACTCTCAGACTGTTGTCCTGTGCTTGTTAATAAACAACACGTAAAACAACCTGTTGAAATTGTGTGTTCCAAGTACTTTTGACTATTGTTGGTCATTTTCAAGGCAAGAAATCAAAACATCAAGTATAAAGAGACAGGATATTGTTCGTGTTTGAAAAGAGCATTGCATACCAATTCTGTTAAAACACAAATCCATGAAGGGTTTTTTTAATTCCTATCAGATTTTGGCTGATAACTGATAACATGATATTCTGCCACAGATTACAAATATTAAAACTTTTCACTCAACTTCAGTCACTTTCCTATTGCTATAACAATGTGTCCACTATATATATATATATATATATGGGCATGTGGCTGAATGGTTAGAATATTTGCTTTCTGACCATGAGACTTGTGTTCAAATGTCACCATGGTTGATTTGTCAGGAAGGAGACTTTCTGATGTTATCGGTCTTGGGAGTGGGGTGATCCCAGCATGGAGCACTTTTGGAATGTGCCTGAAAACCATACCACAGGTTGACCCAAGCCTTGTGAGTGAAATTGGATAGACAGAACCCTTAGTGGCCATCAATGGCTGTGCTAGCATGAAGTCACAAATCACCGTGACCGAGGGTTTGATTGTGCTGGCCTTGTTCATGTTAGATAACATGTTCTCTCCCAGAAACTATAACTAAGGTCTGTTCAGCATAGTTGCAGTATAAACCACAGGTTGGCTCTGTGGATGTTGAACAAACACAAAATCTACCTGAGCGGGCGTCTGCAATAGGGATTGGCTAGCCACCCTAGTAGACAAGTATTCTCAAATACGAGTGGCTAGCCATTATGTATGTTGTGTTGTGTGTGTGCGTGTGTAATGGCTAGTTGCCTGTTTTCAACTATACTCGTCTGTTAAGATGACAAGAAAATCTGTGTTGCAGGCATATTTGTGTTTCTTCAACAGCCACAGAGGCAATCTGTGGTTTATTCTTTAGCTATTCTGAGCCAATCTTCAGGGAGAGAGTGCTCTATCTGGTATGATTAATAGTTGAATGAAGCCAGTATGCTGAAGCCCTCAGTCACAATGACTTGTGAGTTCATGCTTGCATAACCATTGGTGGATTCACAAAGCTCGGATCAACCTGTGGCATGTTTTTCAAGTCCTCCCTTTTGTTCTCACAAGGCTGATATTATCAATAAATCACCTCCTTGAAAAGTGGCTATGTTGAGATTCAAACCCTGCTCTTACAATTGGAATGAGAATGTTTTACTTATTTGGTCATGTGCACCTGTGCACACACATATATGGAGATATTTACGAAGTGTAGGCAGTCTAATGATGATTGGCTTATGGCCATATCACTTTGAAACACCAGTTCTTATGCTATCACTGAAGTTAAGCAACTGAGCTTGGTCAGTACCTTGATGGGTAACTGCTAGGGAATACCAGGCGCTGTAAGCATGGTTGTGCAGGTGGTATGGTTTAAGGACGCATCACATTGAAACACTGGTTGCAATACGATCACTGAAGTTAAGTAACGTTCAACTTGGTCAGTACCTAGATGGGTGATTGCTTGAGAATACCAGGTGCTGTAAGCTTGGATATGCAAGTGGTGTAATGGATAATGACACAGAATTGGAAATCGGAGAGCTAAGTTCCAATTTCAGTTGTGTTCATTATATTAACTTATGGGCAAATGCACTAGGGGAAGGTATGAATCCATTTCTTCTCCCCTAGCTATAGGTTAATTAGTATGACTTGTGTCAGCAAATCATTGTTATCGCCCAAAAATTCTTACATTCTACAAACATTTTCTGGCTTTAAATAACCTGAAAAATGTTGATAAGCTGTAAAAAAAATAAACCAGTTAATAAATCAATTATTGGAGAGCTGAATTCAAGTTCTAGCTGAGACATTTTGTGTCCACGTTGAACTAATGGCCTTGGGAAAGGCATGGCTCAATCCGTTCTTATAGCAGGGCCGACTGGGCTGTCTAGTCTTAACTGACAGCTAGTTCAGGAGAAAGTGGACTTGGAATTAAAAGTCGTTTAAAAGGCAATGGGAAGCCACGCCACAATTTCATCCCGATTCCAATCATAGCTATGCTATGCACAAATATGAAAAATAACAAAGTCTTGATTAACAGTGTCCAGAAGGGAAATGGCACTTAAAAAAAGATAAAGATATTTCAACGTTTCTTTTTACATTCAGAATATTTTTTCTGTTTAGAATGTTCTTAGTACGATTTTTGATGCTTTCAGGCAGGCAGATATTTAAAAAATTTAAACATTGTTAAATAAATACAAAAACACAAGTCATTTATGTGCCATGTGTGATAAACGCTTAGGCGATCATGATACATGACTGACAAGGCAGATTTTTTTCTGCAGTAGGTTGCCATTTGTTTCTGCGGTAGACCATTTGCCATCCAAGGCTATAGAATTACGGGGAGAAGAGGATTCATACCTTTCCCAAGGGTATTAGGAGGTAAGAGAATGTAATGGATCTGACTGGAATTCGAACTCGGCTCTCCGATTACTCAATCCGAGCCGCTATCCATTACTCCACCAAAAATAATATCTGTAGTAAAAATAATTGATTAAAAAAAATTAATTACTTTAAAATTTCTTTAATTTTTGGATTTGAAAACAAAGTTGAGAGAGAGACTTGTGGTCGTTTTTTTTTTTTTTTTTTTTTTTTTACTGTAAGGTTCATCCTGTACAAGGCCCGGGGGCAACTCAAGGTATAGGGATACGTTTAGGAGGCAATTTGTGTGGATAGGAGGGGGAGATAACTGTTAACCCTAGCTTTGGACAGGTTAACATTGTAGTGAGCGGTGAAACATATTGGGAATCTATTCCAGAAAGCAGTGGTTCGCTAGGAGAAGCTGTTCGAGTGGAACTTCTCACCGATGGAATACGGTGGGAATGTGGGTGTTTTGCTACCATGTAAGTGGCATGGCGTGTCCTTGCCGGGAAGGTTTGAACTGGCAGGACCAGGGAGTGTAGTTCGTCCGAGCACTTTCCGTAGAAGTAGCGATAGAGTAGTGAGAGGCTTGCCACATTCCGCCTGTGAGAAAGAGGTTGGAGGGTGGAGAATAATTCGTCACCCACAAGGACTCGGAGATGCTTTTGGACTCTATCAAGGCTGGAGAGTGATGTCTGGGCTGGACTATTTTATTATAAGTCAGCTTGTCCTTCCCTTAGTTCCTTTATTAGCACGACCGATACACCCTGCCAACAACTCATAAATAAAGACTATTCGGCTTTAATCGTGTGGAAAGCCAGAAAAGACGTATCAGAGTCGCTACTTCGTTTCAATGAGAAAAGAAGAGGCGACTATCATGTGTTTAATTTTTATTTCAGTGAAATAGGAAAAGGTGTCAATTTCAAATATTTTCATTTGTACCCCCTTACTTCTTTAAATAACGACCAGCATTCATATTTATGATATTGCAATATTTTGTTAAGGTTTTTAAGCTCAGATGCAATAGGTGAATTTCTACGTGTATTTTATTGTCGCAGAACTCGCTATGAGCTGCAATCATTAATTTTCGTCAGAAAAGGAAAATAGGTAAACCGTGAAATTTTTACGGGTATTTATAGTTTCGTTAAAATTCTTAATAACGGCGATTTAACAGACATCCATTATTAACATTTTCTTTTGTTATAAATGTTTGAAAGTCATTATTTTTTAATTATTTTATCAATCAAAACTCTCTGTGAACATTTGAGTGTAATGTAGCAGCAGACGATGAATCTTCTTGGCTTCGCTTGCGGGCTACGAGTTGTTTCAAATTTAACTCATGCTTTTATTTTTCCTTCTTATTCAGTGTTATTTCCCTAGTAACACAATCGTCTGTTCTTTTTAAATTCATTTTTCCTTCTCCTTTGTAATTTAAACCTTTTGAAGAAAATAAACACCCCCTTTCCATTCCGAAAGAAATCAAACCTGCATTTTATTTTTATTTTTTTTAATAAATCTAATTTCATAGCTCATACTTTTATTATAAGTTCAACAACAACAAAGAAACCTTCATAATCAATAAAAACTGCTGCTACACACCATGAAAGATTCTAACGAGAGATGTGCGTTTCTTAAAAGAACGGTTCCTCTCTAAAACTTGAATAAGAACCTCGTATACATATTTCCTGGAGATAGATGGGGTCCGCCAGATTTAAAAGCCCAAGACACACTACATGATGAGAACACCAAAAAACCATTTGTGGAGACCCAGACTCTGGCACATATCTGTGACAGGTGGAGGAGAATGGTGGATAGATCAACACCTTAACCCCAGGCTCCTTCTGAGGTTAAAGTCGAAAAAAAAAAATACATACGTATGCAATTGGTGTCTAAATAATGTGTATTTATGCACCACTCTTTCATTAATACGCTTGATTTAAAAACCACAGATGAGTAAATTTTATTTATTTATTTTTAACCTTTTGAATTTCTGCACGAATGTACGCTGGGCAGTAGTTTGTTCTTAGAACTTTCCAAGGGTTTTTTTACTGAGCACTTTAAGCTCCAGGCTTTTAGTGGGCGTGAACAAAAACTACGAGCTGTTCTGATTTGAATTTCAAATTTTTAAATGTCAGTATTTTTTTGTTTGGGTGTTTTGATGATGTCACACATTAGGTTCTGTGCGCATCGTGTATTGTAAGTGAAATACATGCAAAATACCAATGTCTTAAAGGTTTCAGCTGTGGGCAGATCCTTTTAATCGTTCAAGAATCTGAATCCCTTTTCTTAGAGTGAACGTGGTGTCCTATACACTTATGAATAAGTATCTGACCTAACCTGTTATTTTATTGACCTTTCTGTTTACTTTTTTTTTTTACAATAATGTTCACCCTGTACAAGGCCTGAGAGTAACTCAAGATAGTCACAGAATAAGAGGCACTTGTGTTAGAGTTTTACAGAGGCACAGTTTATGGGAATATGTGGGAAGATTACGGTTGACTTTAGACGTGAACAGGTTAAGATTGTAGATATCGGGGAAGAATCCACTTGGGAGTGGGTTCCACAAAGCAGCTTTTTGTGGGAAGAAGCTGCTTGAGTGGAGCCTACATCTCACTAATGGAATACGAAGGGAATGAAGATGCTTCGTTACAACGGGCGTTGCATGGTCGGTTTAGCCGTGAAGGTTAGAACTGGTGGAACGAGGGAAACATCACTCTCCATGGAAATAGCGACAAAACAGCGAGAGGCTTGCGACGTTTTGCATGTGGGGGTGGAAAATAATTCGGCATCCACAATGACATGCAGATGCTTTTGGACTCTATCAAGACTGGAAAATGAAGACCGGGCAGCTCCTGTCCATATTTGGCAGGAGTAATCCATTTTCGGAGGCATGGATAGCGGTTCGGATTGAGGAATCGGAGAGCAGAGTTCGAATTCCAATCGAATCCATTACATTCACTTACGTGCTAATACCCTTAGGAAAGGTATGAATCCTCTTCTCCTTTCCAGCTATGGGTAAATAGCAGGACAGACCGGGTCCTATAGCCTTGGATGGTAACTGGACTACTGAAGAAAAAATCTGCCTCGTCTATGAGGGATTTTTGCCTGAGCCTACGGTCTCGTTCCGAGACCGTAGGCCCACGTTAAAAAAAACGGCCTTGTGCCACAACCCTCCTTGTGGAGAGGACTAGGTCTTAGTCGCGCGCTAAACATTTTGTAGCGTAAATTTTATCTTTTAACAACCCTCACAAGAAAAAGTTCAAAGAGGTGAGGTCCGGTCCGGTTAACGAAGAGAATATTCTACAGAACCCCGTCTTCCGATCTATTTGTTTGGCAAGATTTAATTCAGGTACGATCGTACACCACGATGGTAATTTGGTGGTGCTCTATCTTGCTGAAAATAAAATTCCTCATCTCCCAGAACTTCTCTAATTCCTGACATGATAGGCTCTTGCTGAGTTAGGCGTCAGTCAGTTATGTGCCATGCGTGATGCACGCTTAGGCGATCATGTATCTTTCGATACATGACTGACGAGGCAGATTTTTTTTCCCGAAGTGGGTTGCCATTTCTTTTTGTTGTAGTTCAGCTGCCATCCAAGGCTATAGAACTCGGTCTGACCTCCTATTTACCCATAGATGTTGGGAGAAGAAGAGGATTCATACCTTTCCCAAGGGTATTACCACGTAAGTGAATGTAATGGATTCGACTGGAATTCGAACTCTGCTCTCCGATTCCTCAATCCAAGCCGCTATCCATTACTCCATTTAGGGGTAATTTATATAATTTTTTGAGACAACTTGTAGATATTTTAGCCTATAATTTGAAAGAATTACTGCCTGCAATATTGGCTCTATTGAAAGTCTTCGAGTATAGAATATTTCATGCCATTTGATGAATTAGAAAGAGAAAAGCCTGTTTTCACTCACTGTCAAATTTACCTCGTACTTATCTTTCAAGAGAGAACTCGAAATTTGATGATGACTATGCACAAA